TATATATACAGTAATATATATTACAGTAGTAATAATAAGCTCACATGGTAGAGTAACATCCAAGTTAGGCTCATGTATTTTGACTAGAGTGTAAAAGTTTCTTAACATGGTTCTTAACTTGACCAATAGGTTCATAATAAATGTCAAGATTTTCACAGAGTTGATTGTAAAGTTTGCCAGGGTAAACCCCTTCTAGCTTGTAAGTAATATATTTCATGAAGCCTCTTTGTATGGACTCGATTTTGTTTATGTGGACATTGTATATGGGTGACCATATAAGGGAGGCATATTCCAGCCGATATTTGAAGTATGCATTGAAAAGAGTTAAAAAACTGTCTCTGCTACGAAAGTTCTTACAGTTACGATAGATGAGACCTAGCATCCGTTTGGCTGAGCACGTTATTGTGTCATAGTGTATGGAGAAACTAAGTTTAGGGTGAAATGTGACACCAAGATCCCTTTGATGAGTGCTTATTTGAAGAGGTGTGTTATTTATGCAGTAATCATGAGAAATAACATTATGTTAAAGGGTGTATTTTGAGTATTTACATTTGTTTGTGTTGAGGGGAAGATTATTTTTGGTACCCCAAAAGTATAAAAAGTCAAGTTCTTTTTGTAAGATTAAGCAGTCCTCCTCTGATGTAATGTGTCGAAAGATTTTCAATTCATCTGCAAACAGTAAGAAATTACTAGAGAGATCATTTTCTATGTCTTTAATGAAAAGTGAGAATAAAAGAGGTGCTAAATTGCTTCCTTGAGGGGCACCACTGTTCGCAATAAGTAATGGAAATTTGAGAGGCAGTTATTTTTCAAATCATTTCAAGATAGGCCATACGTGCTTCACTTGATTTTCAGAATACCACCAATTTAGCATTTTTTTTTTAATTCTACAATATTCTTCAAAAAAATCAGAACTTTGACACAATAGTTTTTCGAATACATTTTTTGAATAACCCTCTGTAGAGGTAGTCTTGATTCTGAATAATTAATTTCTGAAATTATCAATTGATTAAACAGATATCGGTTGCTAAGTTACCTTTTGTCATATCAGTCTATTATGATCTGTATTGAGCATACAGAAAGGTATTTGATTTTATATACATTTTACCGTTAGCGAGATAGAAACGGGCATTTATTCATCATGCAGAAAAAATGTGAAAGAAAAGTTGCAAATAGTAAGTATGAGCACAATGCCCCGGAAATCCGCAATTGGTGGTTACATCTATTTGAGATACTCGAAACCGATGCTGCCATTAAACCTGAATGGAGATTGTCAGTTCTAAAGGAGATTCTCCCCGCACGAATCCTGAATCGAATTCTGTTGGTGTTGAGCGTACAGGAAGAAAAGTTCAAATTCACTCCACCTCATGAAACGAAACGAGTATCAATTGTCAGTAATAAATCCTTTGCAACAGACAAGTCCATAAATAGCTCTTGTCAAATAAGGTCTTCTTCCAATTCGAGTTTTATGCGACACCTAGGTCTCGCTCCAGTTGCCTGTTTGGATCCTTATTTGAACTTCTTTAAACGCCGCCCCGATAGAGCAGCCATTTGGAGGGAACTGCCACCTTTATCCTTCGAAGAGATGAATCTGAATCAAATCGCCGATGCTATCACTGAAGCAATAGCCAAAGATTTCGTGGAATGGGTAGCGGCTGTCGGGGGTGATCAAGAAACTTCAGTTAATGTAAAAAGTATAATAGAGATGTTCGAAATCGGTTCCAAAATGAATTGCGCCACCACTCTCTGCGTAAACTTGGAGGAAGTCGCATCGGTAACTGAAAAAGTAGCAGAGGCGCTCAAGGCTCCTCAGAAATCTAAACGGAATACGCTTCACAGGGAAATAAGAAAAGATCAAAAAGCTTCGAATGAAACACCAAAAATCGTTGCTTTCGGAAGAAGGCTGCCGACCGAGTCACAAGTCGTACCTCCACAAAAGAATATCTACAAAAAATGGCTGAAATGTGAGAAAGTCCCTCAAAAATTAGAAACTATGGCCGCCGTCTGGCAAGGCATCACTCATTTGAGATCAACCAAATCATTTTGTGAATATTTATTTAAGGAACATCCCGAGATTAAGCCCCCAAAATACTTGGTAGAATGCGGTATGATGGATCCGAAGAAAATCTTAGGTTCACGTGGATCAGTGGAGAAAGAAGATAGTTTTGGAAACGTTTCAAACAGTATATTCTAATTTAAAATATCACTGAATCGTTTGGAATGACAGAGATCACTTTTATAATTAAGAGTTTCTAAATATATTCCAGTAGAATCAGAAATGCGTTTTGCATATTTCTTCTTGGTCAAGTAAATTATAATAAGGGTATTGGGATGTAGAAGTTTAGATTGAAACAAATGTTGCGTTTTTGTGGTAAAATAGATTAACAGGGTCTTTCAGTCAAAAAATCAAACTCTGCTTTACTTAGCCAAGCTTTCGCTTCTAATGGGAAGCTTCTTCAGGGCCTATAATTTAATGAGTTGTGAATATTTTCGCCATTGAATAACATTACAAATCATACTTACAATTTTCATTATTATATTGTATCAATCAATAACTCTTTCTTTAGAGTCAAAAATTATGAAATATAAATAATATATGAGCTGTATTATTGAAATTCCATAAAATTATTGATATTTAAACGTTAATGTGAACAAATATATGCACACATTGTAAAATTACTATAAAAATATACTAAGGGATCATTAACATGAAGCAGTCAAATGCAAGTTTGTTCCTAATAAGATAATATTTGCAAAATTATAGGAACAAATTTCGATCAGAACATGTCCTACTAAATAAAAAAGTTCTTCTTTTTCTTCTTAATGCTCTTGCAGTATATACAGGCCAAACCGGTAGAAATTTTGACGTAAGGCTACGCGAACACGTTTGTTTGAACAAAACATCTTCAAGAATCAAAACACTAGATAAGTAAAGATAACCTCAAAATCCTACACATTTGTAATAAAGGAAAAAAAATTAATTTGTTGGAAGCTATGGAAATTAACAAATCAATTAAAAGCCAGTATGTCATTTGTTAATAGATATTGTTCATTAAAAAAATAATGATTTGAAATGAACAAATGTATCAACAATAGTGTTTTATTGTAAATAAGGGTGAAATAAATTATCTGTTGAACTGAATTAACTCAACGTAAGCGCATTTTCAATTTTTTCAGTACAAGTTTGTAATGTTTTTTTCAATATTGTTAATCTCAACTTTTCAATTTCTTGTGGAACTACATATATTGTTAATTTTACAACCGATACATATGGAGTGTTGCTGCAATTTGAAAGCATTTATTTATATTTGATCTTATATTATACTGACGTTCAATTATGTCGGTGCTTGCAAAATGTTTTTTATATAATTTTAATATGATAATTATTGGAAATGTTAGCTATCTCTTTATGATCTTTTGTGGTAGCATAGCAATTATACTTTCCATACCATTCTTATATCTTCCCTGATCTCTTTCAGTTTATTATTGTAATACTGCTTTTTGCCTTTTTTATTAGTCTTAAGTATTTATAATAAAATCTGAAGTTTAAATTGAAAGGGGTATATTTTTAGGAGAGGGTAATTTTTGGGAAAGAAAGGTTTTGGCCTTTTTCTTCTCTGTCTTCATATAAAAAAAATGTGGGAATCTTCCGGAGAAAGGAAGGAAGCAATTAATTTCAAAATGAACTCTTCAAATAGATGCGTAGATCATACTAAGAATTAACTTTCAGACACAAACTGGAAGAAAAAGTATTCTTGAAATAACTACTTTCCTATAAACATTGAATTATACAAAAAAAAACTATTTTCTTTCAGTTTGTACTCCAAGCATTTGTTATGGAATTGAATCAGATATGATTCACAAGATTGCTACACAATATAGTATATGAAAGAGGTAAAATATCTGATACATTGAATACTGTCACCCTTAATGGTGGACATCTAATGTTTTGGTTGCTTTAGTGCCTCTTCAGCACCAATCTGAATAACATTCCAAGATGAAGCAATCAATTCATTTGCCTATTTGATTTACTCCCAGCCATAGGAATCTAGTTTCAATTGAAAGGTGTATATTTTTAGGAGAGATTAATTTCTCGGAAAGAAATGTTTTGACTTCCTATTTCTCCATATTTCTACGAAAAAATGTGGGAAAATTTCAAAGGAAGGAAGAAAGCAATTAATTTCGAAATAAACTCTTTACAAAGATTGTATAGAACTGGCTGATACTTAATGAAAATCCATATTAAAACTCACTTATACAGTTTATTGTTTGATTTTCACTATAAAGAACTAAAAGAACAAGAAGGACTGGACCAATTTTTATAATTCTTGTCTTTTTGGGTTTATCTTCATCGGGAATAGAATAATAAGTGTTGAAAAATGATATTTCACCCATAATAATAATAGAACTCAAGAACAGCTGGACCAATTTTTACGATTTTTGTGTTTTTGGATTTGTCTTCATTAGGAATAGGATAATATCAAATGTATGAAAATAAATTGCTGTTCGTGGGTCTCGCTAAAACTCAAGAACGGCTGGCCCAATTTAGCCCATTTTGATTTTGAATTATTTGTGGAAGTCCAGAGAAGCTTTATATAATACTAATGGAAGAAGCAAAACATCAATGATAATAGTGACGTGTTATAATACAAGTGACAACTCACGGCGAACGACGTTCGCCGCGTCCACTAGTCTCTCATGTTTGCTTGAAGGTATGTTTGAAATTTTTTGTAAATTTGATTATTTTTTTTCACAGATCTCCTCTGAACAGAATCAACAAGCCTCGTTATCCAGATCCAGATGTCTGTGAAACTACTAGTGTTGGGTCTTCTACAACATCTCCTGCTCAGCTTACCAATATCGCTATGGCAATCGATCCTACCTATTCACGCAGGGGATATCGTGCATCATCTAGTTATGACACTGGCTCCAGCACTGTGACTACTAGTACTTCCAGCAGTAGTCCAGGGATTCTTCCTCCACCTGATATAGGTAATGTCTCTTATAGAAAATGCAAACTTGAAGTATAGTAAGTGAGTAGTTTTTTGGTTTCATTTGTACAAGAATACAATACCCTCATAGGGTGTGGAACAATATCAAGATTAATGAAGATAAACAAAAAATGATCGGTATAAATAAAAAAAATTAAACTTTAACAATTCAATGGCAGTGATGAAACATCCAGCAATTTCAACCTGCTAATACGTGTCCATTTGATTTCGTAAAAAAGTAAGAATTATTTGTTTATTACGAGGAGATTTTTTCGGAGGATGGGGTTGGTTACCAACCTTACATTTTAGGTAAATTGAGTGGCACCTCCTTATAAAGGTTGCCTTTTGACGTAGATATTATCATACTGAAAACTTACCTACACAATGAATACAACCTGCTGATTTCCATGAATGCTGATGACACAGAAAAGTTTAAAAAACTGTTTTATTGTTTTTAAGCACACAAAAAAAGTAACACATAATAAGGGTAACTCACATAGGAAATTTGCAACAATAAAGATTTCCCCACAAAAAGTAGTCCAGTGGTGTTAAATCTGGTGATCGTGCTGGCCATTCAGTGGGACCTCTTCTGCCAACCCATTGTCCTTCAAAATGGTTATTCAAAAAATTTCGAACCTGCTGGGCATAATGGGGTGGTGCATCATCTTGTTGAAAATGGATAAATTCATCTTGACATCTTGGATCCTGTTCAATTATTTCAACTCTACGAGGTTGTATTGCCTCTTCGAAAAGTTGTAAAGAGGAACCACCGGTTAAATTTCCATCAATGAAAAATGGACCTATAATATGATTGTCTAATATTCCGGCCCAGACATTCAACTTTTGGGGATGTTGGGTATGTATTTCTGCGTATTGTCTTGGATTTTCATCCGACCGATAACGGCAATTGTGACGGTTCACGCAACCATTTAAATAAAATGAGCTTTCGTCCGAAAAACAGATGTTATAAAGCAGCTCGAGATTTTGCATTAATCTCTCACTCATGCCCTCACAAAACTCCTGTCTTCGGTCAAAATCATCCTCATTGAGTTCATGAACAAGTTTAATTTTGTAAGGATAGAATTTGTGGTTTTTAAGGATTCTCCATGCGCTCATATGGCTTATTCCGGCCATTGCTGATAAACCTCTGGTACTTAACCTGGGATTGGCGATGACTTGACCAATCGCATTATCGTTATTCGCTATCCTTCTCTGAACATTTCTTTTCTTATTTAAAACCGAACATGTCTCCCTGAATTTTGTGACCAAATCCAGAACGTGATTTCTGCTTAGGTGTTTACCAGGGTTTTGCTCGTTGAATAAAATTGATGTTCTATTAGCATTTTGGTCGGTGCCAAAAAATAAAGCAATAACTGAAACCCTTTCAGCAGTAGGGTAAGGCATTTTTAAACAAATAACAATACACGACCCGTTTAAACAAAACAATCGAACGATTTACTAATGAAAACTGGAAGAAGAGGAGTGGGTATTTATTTAACAAAATACTGATAAGAAGAACTGCTCGAAAAATTTTTTATTTAGGCATACAAGTTACCGAGTGGTCTGTCTAATGTATTATTAACATGTCAATTTTAACTTCAAATTATCTCGAAAACTAATTGTTACAAAAATTTTCTTTTAACAGAGTTGTAAAGGTATTCGAAAGACCTTCAAAAAAAGGTGCCACTCGACCTACTTTCCCTATCTAAATAAGGGTCGTCGGGCGCACCCCTCCGAGGGGGTGCGTACTACAAAAAATCTGATTAGTCGGAAAGGTGTCCCCCTTTAATTAGAAATCGACGTGTCCGAACTTTTTTTAAAAATCTTACTTTTTATATTCAAAAAGGCTTTATTAAGTTTTCGTTGCTACACACTGTATATATACATATAGAGAAAGGTAGTCTTTTTGCTGACTAGTCAGAAAATAAGTGAAACAATATTTGGGTATGCAGCAGGCCAAAAATCAGCGTACTCTTATACCACAGATTCCAAGCTTTCGACAATCTTTATTATCATCATCAGGGATGATACAATAAGGATAAAAGACAGTCATATTTATAAAATAATAACTCAAAACAACGTATAGTGTATGTGAGGTTATATGGCAGGTTGAATGAAATATGGACGTAACATACATGAAAAATTACTATGGTGAAACTCAGGACGTTACAGACAAGCAATATATTAGATTTAATGATATACCATTGTATTATCAAGTTAACAACCACCTGTTCCTTGAAGAGGAAACCACGTGCATTATTCAAAAAGACATATGACATGTAATCCAATCCAGCATGCCCTGTATCAGCCAATTACGGGACTCAAAATCGAATTTTGTTGATGTCGAATGTCAATTCGATTTTGAGCCCCGTAATTGGCTGATACAAGCGCATGCTGGATTGGATTACATGTCATATGTCTTTTTGAATCATGCACGTGGTTTCCTCTTCAAGGAACAGGTGGTTTTTAACTTGATAATACAATGATATATCATTAAATCTAATATATTGCTTGTCTGTAACGTCCTGAGTTTCACCATAATAATTTTTCATATATGTTACTTCCATATTTCATTCAACCTGCCATATAACCTCACATACACTGTAAGTTGTTTTGACTTATTATTTTATAAATATGACTGTCTTTTATCCTTATAAATCCCTGATTATGATAATAAAGATTGTTGAAAGCTTGGAATCTGTGTAATAAGAGTACACTAATTTTTGGCCTGCTGCATACCCAAATATTGTTTCACTTATATACATATATATACACATACATAAGCATAAACAAATTAAGGTCCATACAGGGTGTAACATAAGTACATTAAAGTATTTAAGTAACGTATTCCTAAGAAAATTTTAAGAAATTTTTTCCGGAAATGCTTCGTTTCGGAGATACAGGGTGTTGAAATTGAAGTATTTTGTTCAGTTTTTAAGAATAACTTTTGCAAAAAATAAGTTATTTATAGAAAATTTGGTACCCGAAATTTTTTTATGTGGGAAATCATAATTTCGTATTACTTTTCATGTTACATCTAGTGGGCGCTGCATATGCTGTCATGTATTAGAATAGAATAGAACTTTATTCGTCACTGAAGTTATTACCAAAAAGGAGTACAGAATGTATAACTTATTGGACTCGTCACAAAATATGATATAAATTTAGAATTTAGCCTACATATAAAAATCAGCACGTGAAGAAGTATAAAAAACAAAATACAGACATATAAAATTATACCTAATTACAACATATTAGTTCATGTCTCCAGAAATTCCTCTAACGAGTAGAATGCCCTGGATTCTAAATACTTGTACAGGGAGTTTTTGAAAATTCTCAGATCGGCAAGATCAATTTTGCTATTAAACAAATCTATAAATCTATTATAGCAGAGAATACCTTTATATATGTGCGAGTTTTGCCCAATGGTTAATCTTGAGTATGGTTGATGTAGGTTACCACATTTTCTTGTATTGTACTTGTGTAAACTGCTATTTTTAAGAATGGAATTCTCTTGTGTTTTAATATTCAGAGTAATTGGAAATATATATAGTGAATACACTGTGAGAATACCTATCTTTGGAAAAATTGATTTACAAGATGTGTTAGGCTTGACTCCAATCATACTTCTGATGATTTTTTTTTTGATTATAAATATCTGATTTAGGTAGCTTGAGCTACCCCAAAACATTAGGCCATAATTGAGTGTTGATTGAACCAATCCATAGTATGCCAATTTCAGAGTTTCAGTTGATACAGTATTTTTCAGTTGTCTTATTACAAAACAGATTTTGCTCAGCTTGGTGGTTGTTTCGTTTATATGATTTTTCCATGTTATTTTATTATCCAATATAACTCCCAGAAAGCGAGCAACATCAATCTGCTCAATGCTACTATGATTTACTCTTATTGATAAATTAGAATTCCTATCGTCGGCATATATAATTATATTTTGCTCACTTGGACATGAGTTAATCATATCATTCACGAAAATGATGAAGAGTACTGGGGCCATTATAGAACCCTGTGGAACACCCATATTAATTGTTTTTTCTTTTGATTTATTATTATTCGATACTGCAATCTGTTTTCTATCTTTCAAATATGCTGTAATCCAGTCATTCGCAACTCCTCGAACTCCTATTCGATATAATTTTTCTATCAAAGTATCATGACTAACAGTATCAAATGCTCTGCTTAAGTCGAAGTATAGAGCTATTGTGTTTTGTTTGTTGTTTAAGTAGTTATAGATGTTTTCACAGAGTTCTGCTACTGCTATTGATGTTGATTTATTTTGCCTAAATCCGTGTTGATAGTTCAACACTAAATTATGATGTTCTAAAAATTTGTTGAGGCGGCAATTGAAAGCAAAGTTGACAATTTTTGATAACTGACTTTGTAAGCAGATGTTTCTATAATTCGCACCCATCATATGAAGCAACAATCGACAATGACGGACCCCCTTTTCATTCCAATCCTAGATGACACACGGAGAGAGGAAAACTTCACTCAAGAAGATAGAAACTCAAGTATTTTCGTAGAATTGGAAACAGCAAATATCACAACTGAAATTTCTCAAAAAATAATACTACCACTACAAATAGTGAAGATGTGAATAACACCATGCAAAGTCAAACGAGATTTCACAGAAAAATTTATATCTGTGGTGACCAGTACACGACAGGATTCCCAAGAGCCATCACAAAATTTATAGACCGATATATACATCTAAGATAAGCGCGAATATAAGAAAGGACATGGAACTTTGTGAGTTAACTGAAAATATTTTCTCTGAAACAGTAGAATATGGTCAAGCAGATACGATAATTCTTATGTTTAACACAAAAAACATAAGCAATAATATAACTTTACAATTGTTTCTGAATAATGTGCTAGGTTTTGGTAAATTTACAAATTTTTTTATTGTATCAGAATGTAACAACCACCTTGACAAAAATTTCGATAGGCTTATTTTCGAAAAAATAAAGATATTCAAACAATTAAATTGAAACTGCTCGATAAAATTTCTTACTGACAGAAAACAAAAAGGCAGCAAATTTGAACTCATGGAAAAATTAGAGAAAAATATGGAATTCACAGCAAGAAACCAACAAAAATTTGCTCTGAAGATAATAGAAATAACAGAATTAAATGACATAGAACCAGTTTCATCTTTTTTAAAATCATCCTCAGGAACAAACATTGAACCTGTAGGAAAACCCCAATCTGTAACTGTTGCTAAAAAGTCCAAAATCACCTTTTGTCACCAGAATATCCAATGTATCAGCAACAAAACGCTATGTTTGAATAATATCTTTGAAAATGACAAGTATTGTGATTTTTTGCTTATATCTGAACACTGGCAGTCACAAGAATCGATTGACAGCTTTAAATTAAGTAGATTCACCCTTTGTAATGCGTTTTCCAGAAAAGAGAAGACTCATGATGGGGTTACAATCTATAAACTTGATGATTTTCAAGGAGTTGTAGAGAGATATGATTTAGATGATTGCTGTAAAAAAGGTATTTTGGAAATTTGTGCCATAAAAATAGTTGCACATAAATTAATTTGTATTGTTATTTATCGGCCTCCTGATGGAGATTTTTATGATTTTCTGGGACTACAAAGTGATATCTTGAGTAAAATATGTTCCCCAAAAATGACAGTGATTATTGGAGGTGACTTCAACATTAACTTCATTCCTCACACAACGTATTGTGTATTACTTGAAAGCTTATTATCGCGTTTTGATGTTAATATCACACTGAGCATCCCAACAAGAGTTAAAGGCAACTCAGCAACTCATACTGATAATTTCCTAATTAAGACTATAAATCCCTATAGTGTAGCAGTAGTGAATATGCATCTCTCAGACCACTACTCGCAATTCCTTGACCTGATCTTTGACGAGCTTCCAGTAAACGTGGCATTTAAACCATTTTATTATAAGTGCAACTTTTCAGATGAGAACATCAATATTTTCAAAAATCATTTAAGGAATGAAAACTGGAATAATATCTATATTCAGTCTTGTCCCAACTGAGCCTACCAAGCATTCGCAGATGTCATGTTACACTATTTCGAGATCTCATTCCCGAATAAGAAGGTACACCAAAATAAAATAAATAAAAAAAACAGAAACTAAGTACATTATGTTCTAGTTAATCTTACAATAGTCTAGCCCAACATGATCCTCGTTTCAGGGAATTAAGTAGTTTTAAATAGTAATAACGGAAAATGACAAATCTTTCAATGAGACAGAGTTATCCAATAAATTCAACATACATTTCACAAAACCACTGATAAACAACAGTGAATATGATTGGCAATTCATACATTAAAATATCGACAATAATCTAAATAGTTTCTTCATGCATCCGATTACAGAAAATGATGTAATAAGTATAATTAATGGCCTTAAAAACTCTAACTCTTGTGGTATTGACAATATATCTAACAAATTACTTAAACAATGTCAAAATGAATTATCCCATCCATTAACTTATCTTATAAACCTATCTACAGAAAAAGGCGTCTTTCCAACAAATTTAAAAATAGCAAGAGTAACACCTATCTTTAAAAAAGGAGATAACAATGACCTTAACAACTATAGACCTATAAGGGTGTTAGCCAGCGTATCTAAGTTATATGAATTGAATATCAAATTTCAACTAACCAGTTTCTTCACATCAAACAAGTTATTGTCATCCTCGCCACACGGTTTTACACCTAAAGAAAGTACCGAGACAGCCTTATGTGAATTCCAAGGTGCATTACGCAAGGTGTCCCTCAAGGATCAATATTAGGCCCCTTCTACTCATAGTATTTTCCAGTGACCTCATATCATACTTGAACGAACACTAAAATTATTACAACATGTTATGCAGACGACACAAACATTTCAATTATAGAAGAAGATTTAGTATCATTAAAATTATTGGCTGAGACTACCTATGCTAAGGTGATAACATGGTCGGACATTTAATAATTAATAAATCAAAGACTAATGCCCTGATGTTTTGTTCAAATAGTCGGGAACACCACCAGCTTTTGTTGTTTGAAAATACCAATAACGTCGTGGCTTCTTCTGAATCTATCAAAATGTTAGGAATTACTTTTGATTCAAAGCTCTCATGGATTTCACATATTGATATTGTCTGCGGCAAACTTAGAATAGGATGTTATGCACTCAAGTTTATGTCGAGTCATTGCAGTGAAAATATCCTTCTGCCTTTAAACTTTGCCCACTTCCATTCTCATATGAGATACGGAATTTTAAACTGGGGAGCAAGTTCCTCTGTACAAAGGGTGTTCTTATTACAAAAATACACAATCAGAATAATTGCAAAAGTGAGTAGAAGAGAGTCATGCAGAGAGATTTTCAAAAAATTTAATATTTTGACTGTTATGGGCACATACATCCTTGAAGCGTGTTGTTTCATTTTCAAAAATAATGCCCACCGGCATACCACCGTCCGGTATCAAAAAAACTTTGAATATATTGGATGCAAATGCTATAATTCTCTGGCAGATCACATAAAGAATGCAGCTTCTCTAACAATTTTCAAAAATCTCCTGAAAAAACACTTACTCCGCAAAAACTGCTACACCATAGAATTTTTTTTTTAATTAGGAAACTTGAATTTTAAATGGAATATGTAGGCAATATGCTTTTCATGTATATCCGAATTGATGTGTATTTATGTATGTAAACATGTATGTGTATTTATGTGAATATCTATAACAATTTTTTCAATCTGTATTGTATTATGTTGTTATATTACCTTTTGACATTTTTCATAATTTTCCTGTATTTTTTCACAAGTTAATTGCTGAAAAAAAAATCCTTCCTGGTTAATGGTGTTCAAATTTCTTTCTACTCTGTTGAGGAGCTTTTAGCATATTCTATATGAGTGATAGATACTCCTATTATGTAATGTACATACATCATTTTCAACTTTCAAATTTTTACCCTTTCACTGTATAATCAACTTTATATTGTATATTGCATTACACATTTTATATGACTTGTTTTCTATGTAATCATCATATGAAAATAAATTGATATTATTATTTATTATTATTATTAAAGAATCAATACATCTTTATTGACTAGGGAAGGTATCATCAAGCACATACAATTTTGATAATTCATAACAAAATGAAAACATAACATAAAGAGAACATATGATGATGAGTGATTAGATAGTTCATTTCATTTTTTCAAATCTTTATAAAATAATTCCATTGAATTGAGAGGTATTACAAAGGTCATATAATATGTTTACTGAATCGAGGTAGCAAAGAAATCATCATGTCGAAGCTATTTTCTAGTTTTTTTTGCTACAGTTGCAAGTTTTCATACCTAAAGTTTTATCTAATACTGTGGTAAACATCAAAAGCAAGGAGGCAACAGGGAACCCATTATTTTTGATCTTCATACTTTAATTGAAGTTTGCATGCCTGCAAGTTTGCAAGTAGCCAGAATTTGTAAGATAAAATTCCTTCTTTCTTCTTTTAAATTAAAATTATACAAAAACATTATAATACTGATGTTGGGGTGAACATAAACATCTTGAATTAATGAAAGATTAAACTTTCTGTGCTTTTTTACCACTTTCATTCGTAACTAATGTAACTGCAGTTTCGTCCAGTAAGGACATTTTTAAAACATTTACAATAATTGTGTAATTATCCTTATAGGACGAAACTTGCAGTAACATTAGTTTCAAATAAAAGTGGTAAAAAACATAGAAAGTTTTATTTCTCATTTTTCATGATGATTTCCTACCATCCAGCAATTTATCTTAAACTAACATTTTTGAAAATTCAACATTAAAACTTATCTCTTTTCTTAGCGAAACATTCTAAAAATACCGTTTGTTTTACTGCTCCACAGATAATATAAAAAATCACGTTTCAATACAAAATCTAAAAAGTATTTCGTTTCTTGTCGACAATTTAAAAGTGAAAAGTATCCAAATTTGTCAATTTGTTTCTACTACATTAACCTTTTCGCAATTGCTAATTTTTTTGTCACATAATTCGTATCAGTTTCAGTTATTCCAGATAACTTTGATATTGAACTTGTTTTTCTATAAAACCTGTTGACTTTCCTCTACACTACTTGAGAAGTTACCTTGACGAAGTTGCTCGCAGTCTTGAATAAGTGTTTACACACTCGAGCACAGGGTTGCACAAAGTCAATCAAAGTACCTCTCTACAATATTTTCCTCTCTCAACTTTGATCAATTTCGCAAGTAGTGTGGAGGAGGACCCTTCACAAAGTTTTTTTTTATTTATTTTACCCAACCCAAATTCATATTTCTAATTTTAGCTGAGCAGGATGATGACAGTCCAGTGCCGCCATACATGCCCATCCAAGGTCAAAGAAGGACATCATCATTGGAGAAAAAACAAAAGAAGAAGAGTAAGGATGGTGGCTGTAAACAACAATAGTGTTAATAATAGGAAAACATTTGGTAAAAAAGAATTCGTAGAATATTCTGTTCAAGTTCTAGCATTCGAAAAACAATTTGCAAGATTCTCATGAATGGGTTAATCATTTGGAATCTATTTTTTTTAATTCCGTGTGAAATATTTCAATTCAGTTGGTGGTAATAAGAAATCTCCTAATGAATTAAGGTAACTTGTTTTTCAACATAGAATTACATAATTATCAGAAAAAAAACTAAAAAAAATTAGGTAATTGTCTGTATGTGGCAGCTCACTCAAACATTGCGTGTCTCGAGACACAATTTGAGAGCATTTTATATCCTTTTTTTATTAATATTTCACCTGAAAAAGTGGTATCTTGATCCTTACTGTCAACATTTAAGGACGTTTTTTTTCTGTTGATATTTGATGTACTTAATCCTAATTCAATAATAAGACTTTTCAGGTGCTGAATTATTCATATTTTAGTGTTTATTTAGGTGTTTTTAAATATATTGCTAGTATTTATTCGACCAACTTTAGGGATACGTTGAATATTAATGTGATGTGACGTAAAGTGTGATTTTTGGTTCGATATAGGCAGGGCTGGCTGTAGAGTGGTTCTGCCTCCTGGCTGAAATTTGAGCCCTTTTGAGGGTAATGACATATTGAAAACTTCGTTGTTAAAACACCTCCAGCGGATCGTTATACACCGCGCAAGTTCGCGCGCTTCTAAAGCCGGAGCTGGATATAGGAGAATACAAAAAGTTTTCAGGACCCGTTTGGTTAATATCATAGAATATTATTATTATGAAAATATTCATCATTCAAACAACTGATAATTTGAAAATATTCATTATTGAGTGCCATCTTATCCCAAAGATGTCATTTTTCTAACAAAAAGCTCAAGTTTTATTTATGATCCATATAAAAATGTTTGTTGAATTCGTTGGTCGCATATAAATTAATTAACATTCATTATTTTTGAATAACCCAAACCTTTATTTCGAAAAATGAACTTTATTTACGACTGAACATTTACTGTCAAGATCAACCATGAAATTTTTCTAGACGGATATCACAATGTTTCCATAATTCTAATATGAATAATCTCGTATTACGGTGTTCATGATCGTACTCCTCTGGAGGTGCTACACACCTTATAGAGGGACATGAGTTCGATCATGAATTCAAAACTTTTTCTTTCCAGAAGAAAGGTTTTGAACTTGATCTTCTGGAGAATATGGAGATACACAGGCACAAAATATCCAAATTTACATTGTCAAAAAAAGTGCGATATTTTTGAGAAAAAAAAAGAAAAAATTAATGCAATATTCAAAAATACTAAAACCACCAGGTCGAAATATTTCGATGGGTTATTAAAAACGTAAACTAAGAATATAATGAGTATAAAATTTCACAAAATTAAAAGAAGCTAATTTGTATAGAAAACAAATTATCGTGGCCTGACATATTATAGATGTCATTCGAAGACGATTGTGAATATTAACAATTGAAACGAGAAAATTTTAAAATTTTTTGCATTATTGACAGCATCTATTGTCCAATCCATTTTTAATTCATTTCGACTGAATTTGATTTCTTTACAAATCAGCATTCTTTCTTCTCATAAATTTCAAATCTGTTAACACTTTTTTAGACAGTGAAAGGCATCTCTCAACATCGGTCTTGAAAATTACCCTTCCTGTATGCCACATTTCTGATGCTGTTTTAGTGTTATATTAGAATAACATATTTGTTATTTTTCTATTTAGCTTATCTATTCTGTTGAATATATATCTATCTATTCACTCTCATTCATTGCAATAAAAAAATTTGTTTCAGATGTTTCAACAAATGTTCTTCAAACTTATCAATTAACTGAACTGATCCATTAGTGTTTATTAAAATATTTGACAGGTTATTGATATATACTCAAACTGGGTGGTAAAATGTTATTTTCTGCATTGAAAGTGGAATTTGTTAAACATTATTTTATTGCATAATTATATATAAATAGAACATCATAAAATGTTTGCTAAAACTAGATTTTTCAGATTATTGAGTAAACACAGTGAATAACCCTTATTCTGTTGCCAGTAATTATATTCGTTGCTCTGTGAGAGAGGAGTGTCTGTTGCAGAAGTTTGCGTATTTCTTGATGGCATGTTAAGTGGGTTGGCTCATCCAACCTTGACTATGACTTTCAAAAATAGCATTTATGAAAGGCTCAAGAACATAAATGAAAGTAGATTCTTTACTTTGTTCATTTTGGCAGTGAAAAAAGGATGTCAGTCGACATTGACAATAACCTACAAGGTCATTGTCAGGTTTAACATGATATTAACCTACCCACTATTAATTTATGTTATTAGAAAGACGTATGTCTCTAATATTATTCACTAACTGATATGTACTATTTATACTTGAAACGGTACGGCAATTTGAAATTAGTATAGAATGGAATAAGTTTTATGAGCATTTCTGATATTTTTACGGATGAAGTCGTTAAAAAAGACACCACAGGTCTAGTCAGAAAGTTGTTTTTATGTAATTCAGTGATGGAGTAGAGTTTGGGCGTATGTGGATTCATGATCACTGACCTGCGTGTATCACTTCCATTCATAACCAGTTCTTTTAATTTTTGGATATCCTTTACCTAGTACCTATTAATGTTGCAACCATTCATTTGCAACTTTTACTTTTCCTTTTAATGTAGGTATAGTTGAAGTTAAAACAAAAACAAAAAATATTCAATTCACAAATGCCATATTAATATTTTTGGTGGATCCAATAATTTATAATACAAATTTTTATTCAAAAGTTTTTATTATTAATATTGATCCATCTTTCCATACCACTTATAATGAACCATTTTATGGTTATATAATGTCATTGAAAATAGTTGGAGTTGAAATGTCTTTCAGTACCCGTATTGCATTATGTATTTTTGATATATAAACTATAGGCTCATTCATAAATAAAAAGCACAGTCTCAATTTATGTTGCATTCTGTATTTTTGATACATAAACCATTGGCTTATTCATTAAGTGAACTTATAAGAAGAACCTTCAAATAAATGCATTTATCATATTAATGACATTTTGTGTAATATGATTATCTAAAGAGAAAACCTTTATGATACGTCCAATACTAACGAATATAATTTCTGGTAATAACATTGATAATATTTGATGAATTACTCAAACCTTACGAGTTTAAGGAACGTAAGTCAATGCTGAAAAATCTAAAAGAACTTGCAGTATTTCTTAAAAAACATATCAAATCAAGTATCATCATATATCTTATGCAATTCACCAATGATTTCAAACAATCAAAAATATTAGTGAAATATCTAGTTAGAATATTAACAATAACACCAAAAAAATGTGCTCAATATATTATATGTTTTAAGATATTTTTATCAACTTGATATTTAATTTTTGTTTTGTGTATCTGGTGGAAGGTTTATATACATATATATTTTTGTATATTATGAATGCATTTGTACTCTTGAAATATATGAGTTTTTTACTGTTATTCAGTTTTGAGTATCATTCTCAATCCTTTGGATTTTGGTAACAAAAAGTTATATCCATTTCCTATAAAATAGTGTCTTAGTTATCAGCAAACTACTTCAGTTCAGTTTTCATGTCAGATGTGACCGATACAAAAGCATAGATATCATAGTTTATCTGTTGGGTATGACTTGTCAATTTATAAGCACTTTATCTTGGATATGGACCATAATGATCAGCACAAATCTGAATACCTACAAACAAATAAAGCAGTGAAGTAATGAAAAGATTATTAAAATCAAACTTCTAGCTACTGATGATAGATAAATGTCTAAAAAAGCATGTAGCACAACTACATGAAAAACTTTTTTCAGACGTTAAACTAATAAAAGTGAAATATTGAGCTCCCAAATTAACCTATTACACACAATGAACTATATTTATGAAACGAAAGTATTTTCTGTATATATTTTCAGAAATATGCATAATGGTGAACAAAAAACAGTATGATAAGTTAGGGTGACTGAAAATGAATGCGAACATTTCTTGAAATTCAGAAAAATATGTTAATAAATCATTAGAGAATAAATTCATTTTACAGATTGAAAAAATACCATTATTTTGAGTGAAAAACACTTTTTTTTTTTAAACACCAGCTAAAAAATGAAAATACAAAAGGGTTCTAGGTACTGTACTATCAAAATTGTCAGATGAACAGTTAAGAACGGATGAATTTGAACAGAAATCAGAATAATTTGCATTTAAGAGAAATACATAAGTTTAAAAATAACTTTCAAAACTACTTTGCTCATTATCGAACTTGTATCATATTGTATCAGTATTTTAATATCAACAGACATCCAGGCGTTGAGCATGAAATTATCGAAATATTTATTACAATAGGGTAGTTTTATCAATGAAGTTAATATAGTGCTGTTTTAAGAATGAAGTTGATATAGTGTTGTTTTAACAAGGAAGTTAATATTCCAGAAATACCTACTTTAGGGAAACACATAATTCCAAAGTTTATATTTAGTAGTAGTTATTTGCTGAAGATGGGATTATCGAGGCCTATAATTGATTGGATCTTATTTTCAAGCCAAGACTGTTCATTAATCACACATTTTTCCTATATTAACACTTCTAAATCATGATTTGCAGTGGGAAAGGACAATAAGTTAAAATTAAAAATACCTGGTTATATAAGTAATCTTTATTTCTAAGCCCTAAATCACAATTTTTTTATAAAATGTTGAATTTCCTTTGATATCTTATTTCTCCTAATCAACCATTTTCAAAAACATTGACATGGGAATTCGTCTTTGATTACTTTCAATTCCAACTTCTCAAAGAGTGGTAAATTTCAAATGAAATTCTTTAGAGAGATCAATATATTTCAATCATAGGTTGATAATAGCCTGCTAACACCGAAAAAAGTTAATTATCCTATATTCATTCTATACAAATCAATTTTGCTTTTAATAAGGTGAACAGTTGGCAAAATATTATTGGAGCAACTGCACTTTTGTCCTGAAATGAAATCAAATGCTCCAATTCTAGAATCACAATGTGGGCAATTGATTCTTCCTTTGGACCATTCCTTGGCTTCGATCCTAAGGGTTATCCAGTTTGGTAGATGTTCTTCATTTAAAAACACGAGACTTTCTTCTTTAACCGTTTCACAAATGTCTTTAATTGCACTAAGTGGGGCATTATGCGCGTTCAATAATATATGATCTAGCTCTGCGCTAAGTAAAACTTTCCTACATTTTTTGCACTTGACTTCTTTCAACATTGACATTTTGACTTTTGACACTGACTTCTCAACTGTGGGCTGTGGCTCAGTAGAGATGTTTCAGAGGTGGCTTATTCAAGCGTGTATTCAAAAGGTTTGTTCTGGTTCTAGGAAATTCAGGTTCTAGGACGTCAGAATCATGCGCAGTTCATTTAGAGCGTTCTGGTTT